ACACGAGAAAGGCGGTACGAATTATCAATTACCATCAAAGGGATTTAATATATAGTTGCGTTTCTTTAACCTACTTTTTTTATATATATACATCCTCATCACAATTTTAATTTTGTATTGGAACAAGTATCGCAACAGCAAACCCTTCGAAATAATTTATCTCCAAAGTATTTACTCTTCTGAGCTTTCCAAGTAGAAACGGTGGGTAGATAATGAAACATACCCGTTTATTTCGAGAATGTATTTGATCGCAATTGTGACCATAAAGATATTTTTAAAACAAGATCAAATATATCAAGCTTTAGCGTTCCCAGATTCGCCCTCTTTAAAGTTATTTTATCAATCAGAACCAACTAAATATTTCCGTCTTTTCATCATAAACATAATTAAACACAGAAATATTAGCGTTACATTTTCAGAAAACGACCGAAAGAGATACTGTACAAGAGAAGCGGAATTTATAAGAACAAGAGTTTTACGTTTGTTTTTTCATTAAGTAAAAAGCTACAAATGGGCCAGTTATGCTGTGTCCACAGCGAGAACAAAAACCCGATTTCTAGCGTTATAACTTGACTTACGTTGTAACACCAGAAGTCCAAATAAAATGTAATAATGGTAACTCTTATAACTGTTAGCTATGTCTTCCCGTGTGGGAATCTTTTCTACTGTTATTCGCTTAAAAACTCAAGTTAAAAAGCTTAAAACACAAGCGCGATAATATTTTCGATTACAGATAACAACTGTTTGGATCTATATTTTTGTTGTTGTTGTTTTATGGTTACATTGCGCCACCTATTGACCCATTCTGTAACACTTTAATTTATATGCGTTTGACGTGTACAATTACAAATTTAAATCTTACCTTTTAGTTGACCGAATATCGACTATTTACTTTCAGTTCACGTTGTTGAACTATGCTGATGTTCAAATCAAACGGTGTTTACATTGTTAGGCAGTTGTTATCCAACTGAAGGTAAGAAAAGAAATCGTGTTTCTGGCCTAAGCTGTTCTTCGAAATAAAATCAAATTTAAGTGTTCAAGCGGACTGTTATCTCACTTGAACTCAATGGTATAATATCATGCCTCATTTTCCATATGAGACAAACTAATTCCAAAGCTTTTTTTTTTTTCACACAATGATTCGAATTTCACAACGACTGTGTTTTTCAAAAGTTACCAAATGTTTTATTATTTCCCTTCAAGAAAGATTCATATTCGTTACTCTTTGCAACCCATCAAAATGTAAAAGGAAAGACAACTTGTTAACTTTTTTTCTTACGGAAAAGTTTAAAGATAGTACAACATTTATGCAAGGTTTTCTAACGCCATATAAAAGTTATGCCTTATTCTAAGTATCTTGAGGAAAGTGTCATGAAAGCTTTAAAAGAGATTGAAATTCAAAATGATTCACTGCGTTAATTGTAGAAAATGAAAATTTAAAATAACATGATAAAATAATCCACAAAGAAATGGCACTTCTAATTGTTTCAACAAAACAATTTCTAGTACAAAATTAACACATTTTTGGCCAACATTTTATAAAATATTACAAACGCAACTTTCACAATCAATGTCCAAATAACATCAAAGCTTTCGGCCAGCTCACTAGCCATCTTCAGGCATACCCAAGCTTTCGGCCAGCTCACCAGCCATCTTCAGGCACACCCAAGCTTTTGGTCAGCTCACAAGCCATCTTCAGGCATACCCAATCTTTCGTCCAGCTCACCAGCCATCTTCAGGCACACCCAAGCTTTTAGCCAGCTCACCAGCCATCTTCAGGCATACCCAAGCTTTCGGCCAGCTCACCCGCAATCTTCAGGCATATCCAATCTTTCGGCCAGTTCACCAGCCATCTTCAGGCATACCCAATCTTTCGGCCGGCTCACCAGCCATTTTCAGGTATACCCAATCTTTCGGCCAGCTCACTAGCCATCTTCAGGTATACCCAATCTTTTGGCCAGCTCACCAGCCATCTTTAGGCATACCCAATCTTTCGGCCAGCTCACTAGCCATCTTTAGGCATACCC